CTTCCTGGATGGAAGAGAAACGTCTTCAAACTGGGAAACAAAGTCCAGAGGATTGATTTTCAACTTTTTAGGAATGACGATGACCTGGATGACTGAGAATCTTCACCAGGAATCCAGAAGGTTCACCTTTTAGCTGAACAACGATGCTAAACGTACATCCAGAGCTGCATGTTTGTCTGTTGGAGTGATGTGTTCAAAGTCCAGGCAAACATCCTAAGAATCTGTTTCAAACCTTGAAGAGGCTCTCAGTCGGACCTGACTGGGCATGAGGAACCTCTGCTAGCTAAGCCTCTGGCTAAGCTGCTAGCAGCCTCACCAGTCTTCAGTTTTAGCAGAAAGCGTAGCTTTACAAACTGTACATGCTCTTCATCCACTTCCTATTTGTCACTATTCTGTGCAGAAAATCCTGCAACACTTTCAGGTTTGGACTTCCAATGGATAAAAGACGATCTGGTGGAGATTCCTTGAAGATCAGATACCTGAAGAATGAAAACAAAGCATGCAGAGCGCAGCAGAGCTCCACATACTGCAGCTTAGAAGGTAGCAACTCCATCTTTCCGCCATTTTCTACAACCTTCTTTGTTTAAATTAATTTCTCTCAAACTGCTGAAGGTTTCTTTTTTTAACTCTAGGAGACACAAACTAGACTCAAAAAGTCAAATCAACATTTTCTTCTTCTTAAATCCAGATCATTGGCCTTTAAGGTGCAGTATGATGAAGGTCTCTAGAGAGAATTATTATCTGGATGTTTCAGTTGCAGAAACACTGAATATCAGAAACAGCTCAGATTTATTAACTCATCCAGACGAGTTTTTACCCAGCAGGCAGTGAGGCATGCGACGGCGGTAGAACGGCAGACATGCATGTTAGTAGCCCCGCCCCCAAGAAGACTTACTTCAATGGTACTGTCCAATGAGCCCACACTGTTCCTACGACCTCGCTTCCCTGTTGTCCAATCAGAATGAGGCTGTTACTTTCATCAACAGGAAATGGTTAAGCTGAAGAGATGCTGCATGTGTTTACAAAAGCAATCAAGTTTTTTTCCCTTTGTTAGCATTTATCTTAAGCTAGGAGGAGCTAACTGATGCTAAACTGAGTTTTTAGGTGAGACCTTGATCAGTGTAATTGGAAAACAAACAAAGGAAACATTCAAATAACACTTCCTAGATCTGAATGAATGAATTATTCTCATTGAATACTTTGTTCTGTATGAAGCTTAACGCACCGACAACAAAATCAAACAAAAATCTTCAATGCAATCAAATTTATGAACCAATGAGCAGACCACAGCTTCAATGCCTTCATTCTGCAGGACCTGCTGACCCACTCCAGCCTCATGAGGTCTGGCAACGTCCTGCATTAGGAGGAACCCAGGACCACCAGAGGATGGTCTCACCAGGGCTCTGAGGATCTCATCTGGGTACCTAGTAGCAGTTATGCTACCTCTGGGGAGCACATGGAGGGCTGCGCAGCAACTGCTTTCATCTGTGAAGAGTGCAGATGAGATCTTGGTGTTCTCTGGCATTTGCCAAGCCACCTGCATAGTTTTGGGCCATGAGCTCAACCCCCATCTGTGGACACCAGGCCCTCATACCATCCTCATGGAGTCGATTTCTAACCATTTGCGCTGACTGGATCCCATGGTGGCCTGCAGGAGGGCAGTGTGCAGGGCTCTGGCAGTGCTCCTCCTGTTCCTCCTTGCACTAAGGCAGAGGTAGCCATCCTGCTGCTGGGTTGTTGACCTCCTACAGCCTCCTCCGTGTCTCCTGGTGTCCTGGCCTGTCTCCTGGTGTCCTGGCCTGTCTCCTGGTAGCACCTCCACCCTCTGGACACTACGCTGACAGACACAGCAAACCTTCTTGCCACAGCTGGCATTGATGCTCCATCCTGGATGAGCTGCACTACCTGAGCCACTTGAGCCCCCACCTGCAGAACCACTTCTTTATTGAGTGGGCCTTGCTAATTGCCAATAATTAACACCTGTTTTCCATTCCATTTGTACAGAAACATGTGAAACTGATTGTCCATCAGTGCTGCTTCCTAAGTGGACAGTTTGACTTCACAGAAGTTTGATTTGATTGAAGTTATATCGGGTTGTTTATGTCTTCCTCTTGTTTTTGTTAGCAAAGTTTTTAAACCCTTAATCTACTTAAACTCAGCCCCGGCCCTTTAAGTCTTCCAGTGGATTAAAATTAAAATTATATGAGAATCACATGATAATAACAATTTATTCCACCAAGGTAGAGCAAATGGTAGAGAGAGCAAACAATCCAAAGTTTAAAAAAACTCAGATCTCTGTGGTGCTCCAGCTTTTAAACTAACCCGACTCGTTGTCAGGTGGCGACTACTTCCTTATTGAATCAATGAAATAAGAATGTTTATTTTCCTACAAACAGTCGTATCTGTTAACAGCAGATGTTTCCTATTTATGTGTCTCCTTTTGCTACGGGCTGGTCCCCCCCCCACCCCCAGACTCAACTAGAATAACAACTTTCTAACATCAGTGATGCTGGTGCTTAGTTGGGAAATATAAAAGTATAAATTGTCAAACAACAAAGAAAACTTTGTTCCCTATTTCATTCATAAATTAGTTTAGTTTTTATAAACATTAGTAGGTAGGAAATGCTTCCTCCTTCACTCAAAAACATTTTGATATTTAGAAAAATATAAACAATCTTTCATTTCATGTAGAGATTAAAAAAGCAGATGTCGATGATTAGAATCTTTTTTCTGTTTTCTATTGTCTAAAGTCTTTGCATTGACCATTTTCCGCCCCTTGGTGGGTCAAAACTGATCAATGAGGAAAAACCAGAAAAATGTGCCTTAAAAAGCTGTGATGTAGTTCCTGCTGCTGTCCAGCAGGTGGAAGCACAGCACTAGAGCATCACTGGTGCTTTAACGTTTTGGAGCATAATGTGTTGCATAACAGAACAGATGTATGTTCACTGTGAGTCAGAACACATCAAAACGTCCTTCAGCAGAAAAAAGCCTGAACTGTATAATTCTTATTTCTTTGTTTCAAAGACCAAACTGTTCTTGGAAACCAATCGAAGTGGCTATAAAGTAGATTAATGATTTTCTATTGGTCAAAAAGATGGTGACCAATAATGACTTTGTAAAACCTTCACAGTTGGAAATATTTGAAAGACGTTAAGCAGCTTAAACTATAAAAAATGAGGACGGGGGAACGACGACTAGGGTAGGTCTAGATGTTCAACATGGAGGTCTTACCCGTCTCTGAGAGATCTCTGAGGGAGGAGCTGAGCGCCGTGCGCTTGAGTCCGTCCACTGAGGCATACGTGTCATCGAGGCTTGGCCTTCCCAGGGTGCCGTTCACCACCTCACCCTTCATGGTTCCTCCTGCAGAGTTGGTCCCGCTCCCTGACATCCCCATCCCTCCTGATCCCGCCAGCATTCCAGGACGCATCATGCCTTTCTGCTTCTCCAGTTCAGCTGGAGGAATGAAAGCAGAAATCACAAAATAAACTTCCATACAGTCATTCTATACGCCAGGAATAAAAATAAAAACAATCTGCCTCTTTCAATCCCTATTGGACAATCAGCCAGAGACAATCGCAGGCTAAAGTGCCTTATTGAAAGCTAAAGTGTATCCTAAACTGCCCTCAAGCGCC